TTTTACAATCGAGAGACTTTCTGTAAGTAAGAATTCCATTGTACCAGTACCGGTTACATATGGCAATAAAGTTCAAGTTCAAGTTCATAATTCCATTTTGAAATAATGTTACATAGTAATATGCCACACAATCATTTAACAGCCAACAGCCACGAGGGTACATACCTGTAATCTCATAGTTCTCAACTCTCACACATTGAGACCAAATTTTACACATTTGCATGCAGTCTAGGTTGATGAAAAAAAGAAACAACAAATTAAAATTTTGAAATTGTTGTAGAGACTTGCGACTCCATTAATTAATCAAAGTGGTTTTTGTATGTGAATAAAAGAGCTTCTGCTCTGCCCTGCTCACCGTACACACCACCTACTGTATGTTGAGAACTTGGCAACCTCTTCTTCTTTAACTTTCTTCAAACTAACTTTAAAAGTTACCTTTTTACCAAGGTCTTCATCTAATTGGCTACAGTCAAATTATAAAAATTATGCTCTTATTTTTTAAAATGATAAAAATGTAAGTAAAATAAAAGACAGAAAACAAAACAGCTGAATCATTGCAGCTGAATCATTGGGTTACAGACAAATACAGTACCCCTTCATTGCTTGCTCCTTAATTTTTAAAGCAAAAAAATCTTCTTGCCTCAATGAGTACACAATAATAAACAGCACATACAGTAAATAGCAAAGAGAAGAAAATGATGGCTTAATGCATACAGAAATAGCAAATAGCAATGCGTTTCAAGCACAAAACTCTTCCTCAGGTAGCATCATGGGTAGCCTACATCATCGATGAATCCTATATAATCAACTAGTTGTTGTGGTGAAATGTCTTGATCAGGACAGTATTATTTAGTTACAATAATAACATACTGTATCTAATTAGTTTGCAAGTTAACCCTCCTCTTCCTCAAACTTTGTGCCTTGCAAGAGGACCTTATTCTGACCTTGTATTAGAAACCAGATTCTGACTAGTTAATTTCAACCTTCTTTACAAGAGCTTACTGTCCTTTTTATATTAGGACATTCTAATTTCTTTTCTTGTAGAATCCTCAAAATAAAAACATTCTAGCCCAGTTTGGTGATGTATGTTTACAATGTGGATATTTCTAATTGATTCTGGGATTCCATGTTTTAGGAAGGGGGATTTAATATTGTCTTATTTCGTACGCAGGGTACTTATCTTGTTAGCCAAAGTGCTTGCAGTTTGCAGATTATAAGGGGTAGAACTGTTGGACATAGGGATTTGAAATGCATAGTTATGTATAATCTATATGTGATCTTCTTTAATTTTGTGTGTTGTGATATTTCATGGTTAATAAATATTTGTGTCCAACTTTTAAATGATTTTATTACTCGACACAGCTGAGCCAGACAATATGAAGAATGCATGTGCCAGATCTCACACACCTGAAATTGTTACTTACTGATTGAGTAGATTTTTAAGACTTTTTTTTTTACTTTTTATTTAAGGGCTCTTTTCCTGAACCCCACCCCCAACTGTAATAGATAAAAAATATATCAATAGCTTTGTTGCATTTTCAATGTCTGCCTGCATGTACTGTACAGTATGTGTAATGTTTTTATTATATTGTTACAAATGGGGGGGTAACGAAACTGGTGAGAATCAGGATCTCACCAGCGGCTTAGTCAATCAGTGAAATAATTGTTCATAACCTTCAACTTGATACATGATTTCTAACTGTATACCCAAGCGGCTGGTATAACTAGAGGCACGTGAATTCTTTATTCTCCTGCACAGCTTTGTTTAGAGGAGTAATAATCCAGGAACACTTGGTTAAAACAAATATTTATTACAATAAACTACACATGACACAAAACATACAACACACAAAGTTACATTATATACAGTATTTATAGACAAGGCATTTCAGAGGCCTAACATTCTGGTCACCCAGAAAACCCCAGACTGCTACTAAGCACTTAACTCTTTATGGAACAAGTAATAGGTTTATTCCATGCTGAAAAAAAGAAGAAAGAAAACACAATGTTTCGGCCGTGGAGCCTTCTTCAGGTGTGTTCTTCAGCTTTCTTTACACACCTGAAAAGAACATTGTTTTTTCTCTCTTCTTTTTTTCAGCATGGAATAAACCTATTACTTGTTCCTTTGCAGCCTACGCATGCTGACGCAGCTACCCACCTAAACTCTTAATATGCCTAGAGAGGCCACACAAGAGATGAGCTGCCTTCTAACTAAATACAAAGCATCTT